AAGTACAACGGGGGAACCAAGCTCCGTCCTCTCACAATTTCCTACTTGTGCAGGCTTCAGCTAAGTACAACGGGGGAACCAAGCTCCGTCCTCTCACAATTTCCTACTTGTGCAGGCTTCAGCTACTCAACTCAGAACCGGATATTCGGGGAAGGGAGCGGCCCCCCATCAATCTCATCACAAATATTTGACTGTTTGGTTACCCATCATCAACAAAATATGTTTTAATTAAGTATATTTCTTACAATGAAATAGATAATTTTTATTTAACTAAAAGTACAACGGGGGAACCAAGCTCCGTCCTCTCACAATTTCCTACTTGTGCAGGCTTCAGCTACTCAACTCAGAACTGGATATTCGGGGAAGGGAGCGGCCCCCCATCAATCTCATCACAAATATTTGACTGTTTGGTTACCCATCATCAACAAAATATGTTTTAATTAAGTATATTTCTTACAATGAAATAGATAATTTTTATTTAACTAATTAATAATTTTTATTATTCACAATAAATGATTATTATATTTAAAGTTATTATAATTACTACTTAAGTAATTATTTATATTTTTTTGTTTTTAAGAACAAATATTATTTTTAATTATTATTTAATTAATAAATTAATTTACTAATCCTTATTCTTTAATTACTAAGAAACTAATTAATAAATATCAATATTAGTAATTAATAACCACAATATATGTGATTTATCAATATATTTTAATTAAGTATATATCTTATCATGAAATAACTAATTTTTAGGAGTAAATAAATATTACCATTAATTAATAAATAAATTTATTAATAATATTATTTAATTAATATGAAATTAAATAATTGATATCAATATTAGTAATAACCACAGTAATATTGTAATGTATACAAATATTTTAATTAAAAAATATATCTTATTATGAAATAATTAGTTTCTAATGAACTAAAATATACTGATATTATATTTTTCAAATATAAAATTAATTAATTAGCCCTATTATTTGTAATTAGTAAGCATAATTAATGTGAAATAATTAATTTTTATTTTTTACTTAGTTAATTAATAAGTTTACTAATGATAATAATCTGCTTAATAAGATAATTAATGAGTTAATCACAATGTGAGATTTAACAAGATGTCCTTGTTTGATCATTTGACGACTATTATAAGTTATTGATTTACCAAACACATAACTACATGCATATCCTTATGAGTTAAGAATTTTACCAAATACTTTCCTTCTTTTTTATATCTTTATAAAGAGTTATGAAAATAAGGAACTTAAGGTAACAAAAAATAAGTAGTAGCCAAACATGCTTGTAGTGAGAAGCTAAATTGAGTAGCAATTGACAACTAAGGGACTCCCAAGCTACCAAGGTGACAATTAGAGTTGCAAAAAAAATTGTCTGATATGGTTACAGTTAATTGGGTAAATTTGTTGGACAAATTCTCACACAACTCTCCATACTTTCCACCATTTCTGACAAAATTAAGCTACCATAGAACTTTTGCATTTTCCCACAAAATTCAACACTCTTAAAGAGTCTCGGATAATCCTCCAAAACTTTGCGATGTCACCACAAAGTCCCCAACAACTTTTTTGTCATAAAATCACAAAACTCCAAAGAGTCTTAAATAACCTACCATGACTTTGAAGTTTCAACTCTTCGAACAAAACGTCCAAAAAGCGAAAGGAGGAGAAGATGAGCCCAGGAGAAAATAAGAACGGAAATATTACCCATACAATATGGCCATTTGCAATGAACACTTTTTCGAGGATTTTGCAAAAAAGGTAAGACTTTTAGGGGTTTACGTGAAACACTTTAGAGTTTTTGGGGCGTCATGAAGTTTTAAGGAAAAATCAAAATTCAGGGGGTATTTAAATTTTTTGTGGGGTTTGGTCAAATTTACTCAAATTTTAATGAGCGCCGCAAACGAGAAGTTGAGGTTACACCATGTAGACGAATTATTTAAAAAAAAAAATCAAAAGTTATTGGCTTTTTTGGAGAGAGTCTGGATTCTCTACGATCTTGATTTTAGAGAACACCTATAATTAGTTACGTGGACTTATACTATTGGTTTAGCTCACCGGGCCGCACACAATCAAAAGTGTTTTATATTATTTAGATAATCTATACCATTTATGGGGTTCACTAAGTGATGAGATTTTTACTTGTTGAGTTATTAGATGCTTCATGAGCATGCACCACAACAGTAGGAGGAGTGCGTGTAGCTCAAGAGAAAAATATTTAATTCTATCACCTTTCCATTTGTAAGTGGCTTGGGCCACATGGATTTTTCCTATTGATCGATATGGTGTAATGCTCATGGAGCACCTAAGACATTTTTGAGCTCAGATTCTCTATAACCTTGGTTGTAGAGAATGCTTACACTTGATTAGGTGGGTTAATACTATTGGTTCATCTTAGCACGCCCCGCAATTAAAAGCATTTTTATTTAGATAACTCATATCATCCGCGGGGGTCCACGTACCGAGTGAGAAGATATAATTAGTTAGTCATAAACGTTCTCTACAACCAAGGATGTAGAGGATCTCTACCATTCTGTTGAACTCGATCTCTCGGAAGTTCGTGGGCCAAGTGATAGTTTTAATAGTTAGGGGGGTTAGCTCAAAATTGACTGAGTATCTTTCTGCCATATTTATATATCTCAGGCTCCCATACCCTCAATTCTACTACGCGCTCGAAGACATACTCTCCTCCTACACCCCGAAGCTCACCTGGACTGTCCACCGGTCATCGCTGATCTTCGGCGCGTCGACGTGCAGTGTAAACAACCTCCTGCTGACGCTCGCTGTCTACGCCCTCATCTGCCGCCATGAGGGATCACCGTACGTGTATCCGGGCACCGGGTACACGTGGAGCCATTTCTGTGATGCGTCGGACTCCGGCCTGCTCGCCGAGCAGCAGATATGGGCTGCGATGTCGCCGGCAGCTAAGTATCAGGCGTTCAATTGCACTAATGGGGATGTGTTTACTTGGAGAAGCATATGGAAGGTGTTATATTTATAAAGCTTTATTAATTCATGATCCTTAGTTTAAAATAAATTAAATTTCACATATATAAACCCCATGAACTTGGCTTGTCACACGGGTCCCATAAATTCTGAGGTGTCTCACGAAACTCCCGTGAACTTTCACATTTTTCCAGAGAGAGAAACTATAATTTTCCTTTGAAATTATTAAACTTGGGGTGTGGGTGGTCTTAATGAGGTTTTATAAAAGTTAGCATTAGTTCCAGGCTAAATAGCACTTAAATGCCTTATAGTTTCCCTCATTTAGCATTTATATACCCTCGATCAGTTGTTTTTCGTAGAAATTATATACCTTAAGGTACCGTTTGACAAAGGGTTAAGTGAGGGGTTAAGGAGATTTAACATCTTCTTAACCCGCCAAACACAAAAAATCTATACAAGAGTTAAAGTGAGTTAACCCTCCATAATTTGTCAAACATAAAAAGTATAGAAGGATTAAGTTAAACCCTCTAGAGGGATTAAAATGAGTTAACCCCTCAAAATGAGGGGTTTACTAATACTTCTATTTAGAAGGATTAAAAGTTAACCCTTCTAATTATAAAGAAAATAGTTAAAAAATAGTCAAAATCATTGTTATTCCCAAATACTAAACCGATCACAAGTACATTAATCCTTCTATTTAATCCCTCTTCCTTAACCATTTGCCAAACGGGACCTAAAGTTGTTTAAAATTGGCACATTGATACCGTCTATTATGTAAATGTGAATGTTTTCACTCGAAAGACCCCATATAATTAAAATGTTAATTTTAGAGCAATTTAACCATTAATATTTGTTAAATTTACCGTTAACTCTACCAATTTCTAATTTAAGCGTATACCGGTTCTATATATATATTAAAAAATGGATAGATTAAATATATAGTAAGTTTAACAAACTTAATAGTTAGAGAGTTGTAGAATTATCATATGAATATTATAATAGAGTTTTGGGTGAAAATTTTTACATTCGCATTCACCTCTCACATTTGACAGTCAACTTAATTAGAGGGAACACGTGGTTGACAAATTTGAGGGGATGAAATTAAGCATCTTACCCACTTATATCATACCTTATACGTGAAAGCTAATTATAACCTAAAACTTTTAAAAGTCTAGTACTAATTCGAGCTTAAGAACCCACATAAAATTAAGAGTCGCAACTAAATTTCTTTTCCTCATAAAATATTAATAAATATTTTTTTTTAAAAACGCATTGTGACGACTTATTTTAGAAATTTTATACCTTAAAAATGCAGTGTATAGTTAACATTGTTTCTGAATGTTATGTTATCGTTTATCAGCTGAAATCTAGATTTCCCCTGGCTGCAGCTTGTGTCGGAGTTGTTCCACGTGGACTTCTCCGACTGCCCGTCGAAGCCGGTGGGGCCCACTTGGGTCGGAGAGATGAAGAAGAAAGCGCACGTGTGGGATGCCATCGTGGAGGAGAACGGGCTGCTGAAGACAAGTTTAGAGGGGATCGCAACGTTTGAAGCTTTGTATGCGGTGCTCAACTTTGGGTTTCAACACGTGTGCAGCATGAACAAGAGCAGGGAGTATGGGTTCGTTAAGAGCGTGGACACCCTTAAAAGTGTGAGGAAATGGGTGGAGAGGTTTGAGGGATATGAACATAATCCCCAAAGATTGATGGAAAGAATGTGAGGAAAAGGGAAATGCCTGGGATGTTATTATGTGTTTTTTAAGTGTTAATTAACTTGTTCTAACCTTTACCTTTTTTTTGTGTGGGTGTGGAGAAAGGATTCTCTATATTCTTGATTGTAGAGAACTTGTACGGTTGATTATGTGGATTAATAACATTGACTCATTTTAACGGGCTTTATAATTAAAAGAATTTTTATGTAATTTATACGAAGAATATCATTTATGGTGTCTACTGAATGAGAAGATATGATTAGTGAATTGTAGATGTCTTCTACATTTAAAGAGGGTGAGGCTATAATAACTAACCGACCCGGCCCAACGCACCTCAGGTCCAATCGCGACACCCGCATATCAATTTATACAAGACACCCGTACAACATTCACCATGAGATAGATACCTACCAACTGTAGGAGACCACCTCTTCAATCCAGTTCTCTCCCCTTCGAATTCCCTCCAAAATTTTCTCAACTTAGAAACCCTAACCCTAATTTAATCTCGATGAACGGCAACGAGTTCCGCTTCTTCTTCTCTTGCGACATCAACCTCCCCGTCACCTTCAAGATCGAGCGCCTTGAGGGCAATTTCCCCCAATCCCCGCCCAAATCTGGTACGTTTCCGTTGCAATTAGGGTTTCTGTAGATCTTTTTGGTGGTAATTTCGAGTGGATTAGTTGTTTCTGTGTTTTATGCCGAGTTAGGGTTTATGTGGTTGGGATTGATAGTTAGGATTACTGTCTATACTATTTCGTGTGTAAAGTTCGTAGATTTATTGCACACATTGTGGATTCTAGGGTTTTCGAATTTGATTTAGCAACAGTAAGGAGCAGGTTTAAGTTTTTATGATATCACTGGAGAGAGTGGAAAATTAACAGTGACGGGTCAATGATTCTGATGAAAAACTAGTGGCTAGGTGTAGATGTGGAATTGAGCACATACACTACAATGTCAGAAATCAAGTGCATGTTCTCCTGTTTCTTGTTTTAGTTTGAATTTCTTTGTTGCTCTTTGATCCTTGGTGTGATTTCTTCATCTCGCAGAAGTTCTAGCTTCAAATGGTAACAAAAATGCGGAGCTATTCGTTGAATGTTCCTTGTACCTTGACGGAGTCCTTTTTGGCTTGCCTACAAGAACGAGGTACTCCCATGATTGATGCCATTGATCAGCTCTTGTGGTTTTGTGCAACCTGATAATTTTTTTTCCTTACTAAAATACCAGGCTGGAGTCTTCGGGACACCCATATTGCTGGAATGAGCTCATTACACTGAGTACTAAGTATCGCGATTTAACTTCTCAGGCCCAACTTGCAGTAACTGTAAGTTAACGTGGTCTTCTTTGGTATTTGTTGACATTACTCTTTTTATATTGGATATTTCTTGCAGGTTTTCTTGCCTCATTGAGTAGACAGTAATTAGTTTAACACTATGCTGTTAGTTTTATCTAGGATGATGGTAGTTTCACTTAGAAACTAAAAATAGCTGAAAGTGCTGAACTTGAAGTTACACATACGAGATCCAAAAAAATTAGGATGGTTGTAACTGTATAAGAATCTTAATTTGTCTAATGATATGTTTGGATACATGTCTTCTTTAAGGTAGTTGTCCTTATGGAATATAAAACTCGTGAATAATTTGAGAAAATTTAACAATCGCCTGCCAATTTCACATCAAACGGTTCAACCAGTGCCAAACTCCTGTCCAAAAAAAAGACGATGGATTGTAGGGAGATTTGCCATGAACTTTTGAGTATAAGTTAGCAGGTAGGAAGTTATGGACTATGGACTATGAGTTTAAGCTCATGCCACCAAGGAGAAACCTTCCATTTTTTGACTAAAAAGAGGTCAACGTTGATAAATTTGCTTTAGGGGCTTCAGATCCAAGGCACAAACAGACCAAGGGGCCAAATAGGAAACATTCCCAGCATCACAGTAAAGTGTCTGATAATGTTATGTGTAAGTAGTAAGTATCATAAGCTTGCATAAAAATTATTCTTTATTCATAATATGGATCCAAGTATTCAGTTTTTCTGGTTACTGAAGCTTGGATAGCAACTTTGACCATAGCTCTAGTTCATGTTGCAAAGAATCTCAGGTTCTGTCTTTGGTGTGTACTTTATTACCCGTGACATATGGAAAATATTCTCATCGCAAGAAAAAGAGGATTCATATAATTCTGAGATTTATTTTCAGATTTATTTTCTCGACTCAGATTTTATTACATCTTTCACTTGTCAATCTTCTTATATTCATCTACTTTACTTTATTTTTGGTTTGAAACTCCCTTAATTATTTTATCAATTTATGTGATCTTTTGTCTTTGTTTCTCACGCTATGTGATCATCCATGCTGATTTCTTGATCTTGTAGGTTCGGGATGTGTCCTGTGGTTCTGACGAGTCTTTAGTCGGTGGTGCTACAATTTTTCTTTTCAATAGCAAAAAGCAGCTTAAAACTGGGAGGCAAAAGCTTCGACTTTGGGAAAGAAAAGAAGCAGATGGAAGCATTCCCACTAGTACACCTGGGAAGGTCTGTACGGGGATGTTATGCTGAAGTTGCTTAACCAGTTATAACCTTGCATATGGTGTATATCCTTTTTCTGCTATTTCTACCTTAACATTATCTACGCTTAGTGATTTATGGAATTTGTCAGGTTCCAAAGCATGAGAGAGGTGAGATAGAGCGCCTGGAAAGGCTGGTAAATAAGTATGAAAGGGGGCGGATACAACATATCGATTGGTTGGACCGTCTTGCATTTAAATCTGTGGAGAAGCTCAAAGAAAGGGAAAGCAGTATAAATGGAAATTCTCACCTAAGCCTGATAGTTGATTTCTGCAGTTTTGAACACACAGTTGTTTTTCAGGTAATTTGCTGGCATTTAAAGATGTGAGTTTAAAGTTTTTGAACATTCTGATCCTTGTCATTGTACTAGATTACTTATTAATCGTATGTCCAAAGTTAGGGAAATTCTGTTTTATCTTAGCTGACAGCCTACCAGATGTCTTGCAGAAAAGTTGTATATTTTCAGTTCATAGTATGTTTTTTGGTCGACGTGGTTATGTTTTGAGTAACTGTAACTTATTTACCGGATTTTGTAGGAGTCTGGAGCAAATTTTTTGGCTCCGACTTTTGTTTCTTCAACAAACGAACTTGTTACTGTATGGGACCCTGAAGTTGGAAGGAAAAATCCTTCTGAGCACAAACAACTAAAGCTTGCAAGGAGCTTGACTCGTGGCATAATTGATCGAGATCTTAAACCAAGTAATAGCGAAAGAAAGTAAGTCTTCTACTACCTTTCTTTCATTATTTAGTTATGTTTTACCACTTTACGTGCTGCATCTGTTACTAGTTTTACGGCCACTGTAAATGTTTCTACAGAAGCAACAATTGCAGCAAAAAGCGTCTATCCATTTTTTGTCTCAGCTGCATGGTCCTTTTTCTGTTTCAGCTTTTGTTTTGGGGCCCATCTTGTTTGTTAAGTTAGCAATTGTCATATCTTTTGTCCTTCCCAATTCATGTTCATTTTTCTTATCCTAGTGCTAGCTGCTTCTTCAACTACATCCTTGATTCGCTTCTCCAATTTGGCATGCTTGTCGGTCTTTGTTTCTCATATCACCTCAAGTGATACTCCCAATATATTAGGCTTTAGTATACCCGGAAGCTATCTGTATTGTCTTCCACGATGGCATGTATCTGTATCATCTAACATATATTGGTCCCAAACTGTATCTTGTGCAGCTTCATTTGCCACTTGTAAGCACTGAAATAGGATTTTTTACCAACTGGGTATGTTACCTTATTGTGAAAGAAGAGTCTTTCTTTAGCAGTTGCATTTTCTATTCTCCTGTTTACATATGTTTTGAAGTCTTCCTTCAGCTAGAAGATGCATTGTTATTTTCTTTTAGCAGTAAGTTCAGATGTATATAGTCTATAAAGGCGAGTATTTTCATTGCTATCTTTTATCTAACATTTTCTGCGTTACTAACTCTAATGTAGAAAATTATGAATTCTCATAGGAATCTGCATCCAATTTTTAGAGTTGTGCCAGTAATAGCTGCGTTACTTCTTTATTTTTCATACAATTAATGATGTATATATGAGAGGTCCAGGATCTATTTTTGAATTCCCTACATTTGTTGGCTGCTATTCATACACCTTCTCTGCACAGGCACGTGCCTTTTATCAGTCTTTGGTAAATAATCTGCATTGGCATGGATATATCATGCTACCAGTTATTGGTTAATTTATAACTTTGTATTCTTTGGCATGGAAGGTCAATACACAGAATCCTCAAGTACCCTCCAACACGAACATTGAGCGGTGATGAGAGACAACTGCTGTGGAAGTTCCGCTTCTCTTTGATGTCAGAAAAGAAAGCACTCACAAAATTTCTTAGATGTGTTGAATGGAGTGATGTTCAGGTTAGAATTGTGTACTTAAACATGCTCATATTTCCTTGTAATATCTCTCTCCACTTCTACTAAATGTTGGGCTTTGGCTTCTTGTGAATTGATATGTTTAGTGTTAGTTCTTCAGTAACATGGTTCATCTAAAGGGGACCTGCGAGAATATATTTTACATGGAAAGATTGGCTTGGGCTCTCATATATGGATTTGTAGCTTACTGTTTAGAGCTATTGGAGATTTGCAGTTGTCTGGCAATAAAAAATCTTTTTAAAGATTACATTTTAAATATGTTCATATTTTAATATCTATTAGTTTATTGCTATGCTTCAAAAAAAGAAGTTTTTTTGTTGATTTCTCAATAGCTCATTGAATTAGTCATGGCCCGTGAAATAGTTGCACATGGGATATAAACTAGAAGAAAGTTCAGTGTGTGGTCATTTTTATGTATTCAATAATTATTCATATTAGCACTTTGAGGAAGGAGTTCTGGATAAATTGCGTAGTTAAAGTACTCAAGCTAGAGCAAATTGAGGATAATATTGATGACCTGACAAAGTTCTTGCGTGGTACGTGATAGAATGATTGGAGCTTTTCACTTTTTCTATCCTCTGTTTCCTTTTAGTTTTGCAAGACCACGGGATGACAGTAGTTAAGATTGTGTAGGATATGGGGGAGGGAGCAGGTTAGGTATGGTCATGGGCAGGTATTCGTGTATGCTTGCTAAATGCCTGCCTGGATCTGGTACCATCAGGTACTTACCACAATATCAAAGCTCTGAAATTATGTTCAATGTCAAAAGAGGTAACTTATGTTTGAGTAATTGATTTGTATAGAGAGTTTGATTGTTTATCATAAGAGATGTGTAAATTCAGAGTTACATTATAAATGTTTTGCACTGTACACATCAACTTGTAAATTCAGAATTCTGTTATCGATGTTTCACATTGTACATATACTAACTTTTCTATATTGTCTCTATTCTGGAATTACTTTGCTGCTCGTGGGAGGCATCTGTAGTTACAATTTAGTCACACTTGGACTTGCCTCAGTTCATGCTTCATTTTATGTAGGAAGCAAAGCAGGCAATTGATTTAATGGGCAAGTGGGAGCCCATTGATGTGGCTGATGCATTGGAACTTCTGTCTCCTAATTTTGAGAGTGAAGAAGTAAGTATATCTATATCTCTGCTCCATTTGTCCTGCCATGCTGATTTTTCTAATTTGAGATGTGAATATGACTGTTGTTTTGAAGCATGTAGTTGAATAGCTTTCTTTGTTCAGGTTTAAACTTGGTCATTCTGGAAATATCAATGTTGAATTAATGAACTAAATGCAAACATGGACAACTAGGGGTGTTATCGGAGCGGATACGGTTCGGATATGACACTTACCATATCCATATCCGCTTTTTATAAACGGATACGGATACAGATACAGATAATCTTCGGTAAGAAAAAACATTAATCGTATCATCGGAAACGGATACGGTTCGGATATTTGAGAATCGGATCGGATATGATCATGGATATAAACGGATATTCGACAAATGGATATGAATCGGATATGAATTAGTAAACCTATGCATAAATTACAACCAAATAGGTAAATGTATGTGGTTGTATGCTTCTCCTTAATTCACATATAAACCTATGCATAAATTACAACCAAATAGGTAAATGTATGTGGTTGTATGCTTCTCCTTAATTCACATATAATTAGAATTACTCTATATAGTAATAGATAGAAATGTATGTGGTTGTATGCTTCTCCTTAATTCACATATAATTAGAATTACTCTATATAGTAATAGATAGTTATCGAAGACAGTTACAGAAATGTAATATAAAACTTTCTGAGAATAGTTTCTGAGAATAGATTGCAAATAGAAGACTCCTCTAAGAACAGGCAGCAAACACACAACAACCAAGTCCGAAGACAATTACAGAAATGTAATATAAAACTTTCTGAAATAAGACGAAGACGACGCTTATTTTCAGTTTGTTATCTCTAATTTGGTTGGAAACAAAATCATAGCAAATGAAACCAATTTTATGGGTAGTACTTTAATGTACTTTGTCAGAACTTTTTGACTATTTTCTTCATATTAGCTAGAAATTGCCTTGACTTTCACCTATTTATTTATTTTTAAAATTTTGACACTTTCAGGAAGAAATTCATGTAGTTTCTACAAATTTAGGCGAACCAAATAGCCTCATAAAACCAATTAGATCAAAATTATCTGATTTCCAAGCAGAGCCCAATATAAGGTGCATACAAAAAATTTGGATTTGCATTATCTAGATTTCAAGTATGGGGAATTTGGATTTGGATTATTTGGATTACAAATACATGCAAGTTCATAAACAGTTAGGTCGGTCTTTTTTTCGGATCAATGTCATATAATTATAGATAAAAATAGAGTGGTCCAAAGAGATAGATGAAGTACAAAGGGGAATATATTAGACATCGATTAATCCAAGTTGGTGACACCAATTAATAGGATGATATAATCGTCTCTTTTAGCTTATTTTGAGTAGGGAGCAAATATTTTAAGTTTCCATTCTAGTTCCATACCTTTTGTTTTCAGTTTTTCTCTCCAACTATGGTGTAATATTTTTCCATTAGCTTATTCGACGGCTATGGCATTATCTCCTCTTATCTCTAAATTCCAAGCACATATGGCCCTATCTTTCCCCGCTCTAAAATTTTAGGTGTCACTATCCCCTCTTCAACCACCAGATCCGACGGCCAGATCCGACGAAGATGACGCTTGGACGAGACAAGGCGAGGATCTGACGACAAAGACGACGCCTGGACGAGACAAGGCCAGATCCGACGAAGACGACGCCTAGACGAGGATCTGACGACGAAGATGACGCCGGAGGACGGTGAAGATGACGCCGACGGCGGGTCGGGAGTCTTGGGTCGGGACTCAGGAGTCTCGGGAACGTCAGGATCTGACGAATTTGAGTGGACGGAGGTTGGAAATTGAGTGGAGGGCTTGGAGGCAGAATGAGATATGATATCATAAAGCTAGGGTTTTTAGTTGTAGTTGAGTTTTGGGTTAGCGGTCACGGGTTTGTAATTGTAACTTTGGGACCCGAATCATTATTACATTGCGGATATCTGTATCCGCAACCCTCATATCCGAATCCGTATCCGAAAATAAATCTGAAACCAGATCTGTATCCGAAACCGTATCCGTCCGGTTTTAAAATTAGCTTACCATATCCGCATCCGTTCGGATACGGATGCGGATCGGTTCAGATATATCAGAGCCGTTTAGCACCCCTATGGACAACTTTCTTTTTTGTTAATCTAAATAATTAATTAGCTATCATGCGCATAACTAGAGAGGTTTACGGCTATCATCAGTTTCAACATTAGAAGGTTAGTGTCTCAGTTATTACTTTCCTGATCAACAACATCACATATCATCTACGGAGTGAACATAATTTTGGAGTGAGGTAAGGAGAGAGGGATTCAATGTGCTAAGGAGGGAGGGGTTTAATTTGTCATATGAATCTGTGATGTATAAGATTCTTAATTTTCTCATACAAGGAACTCAAAGTCAGGGATTCCAAACATCAATGCGATCGAATCACACCCTTCTCATGTGTCTAAACTTGATTTTTAGAATTTCAATTTTCAAGAAGGCAATTTCCAGATCCTGCTTGCTTATCCATAGGTTATTAAAAAAAACATTCAAAAAAGTAGCTTGCTAGTTGGATCTATAAATCTATGAGTGTGAAAAAAGGAGAACTTGATCCTTGGATAACCTATCTCCACTAAACTATGTCATGAGAGCAAGAAGATAACTGGCAAAAAATAACATAAAATTACATCGATTCAACTGTTAAGTAAATGTCCATCTCCTTTAGGATTTGAGGGACTAATTTCAAAATATTAAAAAAAAACCCAAAAGGGTTACACAAATCTTCTTTCTTCAGCTCCATTAAGGGTCATTACTACGTTAAATTAATACCTCTAGTTCCTTTAGCTTCGAAATATATGGGGTTCTCTACAGAAATCTTTTTTCATCAGCCTCATTAAGAGTCATTCCACTGCTAAATTAATAACTCTCAAGTTCTGTTACCTTCCTCAATCCATGTTGGTTTTGGCATACATCTAATCCACTTAGCTCCATCGATATGTTGCAATCACTCTAACCACCACACTAATTGGCCTCCATTGTGTGTGCCCAATCTATGCCAGTTGGTTTGTCCTCATTCTATCCTCAATTGAAGGCACATAACTTCTTACTGATGCACCCTTTTTTTGCATCACCATTCATCCATCTCAAAATTCTCATTTCAGCTATGCCCATTCTTAATGCCAAGTAGTATGACTGATAAAGCATGGATAGTTATAGGCACATTATAATTTTTTTTGTAGATATCATATGTCCCCACAATACTTGGAAAGTAATTAATCCCAAGTAGTTAATCCTTGGTTTTTAGATTTTGGTGAATTTTGATAGACAAAAATCATGTGCTCGACTTTGCCTGGTTCTGTAACATTAACTATATACAACATGCCGATCCATCTATATGATTTTGCTTTGTTAATATTTTTCCCTTGTTTTCCTGTCAACAAGTCTGTGATGCTTATAATAATTTGAGAATTGAGAATCCTGAAGTTGGGTACCATTAGGTCATTCTTATGTTCAAATCATCTATACGCAAAAAATAAGATGCTATCTAACACTTACAAAAAATTAACATTTTCACAGTTGTCATGCAGTTTTCTGATATTAATATATCCTTGCTGTTGCAATTTGATTCAAACAGGTTCGTGCATATGCCGTAAGTGTTCTTGAAAGGGCTGACGATGATGAACTCCATTGTTATTTGCTTCAGTTGGTGCAAGCTCTCCGCTTTGAAAGATCTGATAAGTCCCGCTTGGCACTTTTCCTTGTGCAGCGCTGTATGTTTCTGCTCTTTCTAAGATACTTAAGTAGACTCATTGGATCATCTCGATAAAGGTCTTTTTGCTTTTAGTGTATGGCATTAGTATGTCCACTTGGTGACAACCTCAAATATCAACCATACTTAGAATAAAAGGTTTAATTGGGATATTTTTCCATGATTTTATTCAATTATCTGCATTTTCAATTGCATCAGATCACAGATCTACCAACATGCTATGGGAGCTTTCTGATTGCTAAAAACTTAAATAGGTAAAGAAACGCCTGCAACATGAGGCTTCTTTTGTCATAAGTTTTTATTAGAGAGTTGTGATGATGATACACCAACATCATACCAGGGTAAAACTACAATGAAACTATCTTTGTTTTGATTTTACAATGTCGTCCAATATTTTTTTTGAAGTAAAAAATCCATACAGCAAGAGAATGACCTTTTGTATTAATTCAATAAGCACCACTTTGTTTTGCACTTACATGTATATAAACTTTTTACACACGTACCAGCCTGATCAGATCTTGAAAATCAGCTTGGTTCCTCTTCTTCCTCCTTTTCCTTCTTTCTTTTGTTTTTTTGTCTGTTCTTCATCTATATTACATCCTATTTAGTTAAAAAATAGTGTATCTCAAATTTTAATTTTTTTATTGATTTTGGTGTTTTTTGTTTATCCTCAGCATTGGTTTTTGTCAATGGGTATGGGTGATTTGCTATTTATATATCTGAAACATGTGATTCATTTTTACTCATTGAGTATATTGTGATTTTATAGGCAAATGCAATTCCTTTGAACAATCCTATGATCTCTTCTCATTGTATAGACACAGCTCTAGCCTATGGTAACTTTGAGGTCTTCCTTAAACTGTATGTCAAAATAGTAGGTTAGGTTTTGTTTTAGAAAGGGAAGATAGCTTAAATCGGGTAACCCTCTAGGTTTTGTGATAAGGTCTCATCTTTCCCATGTTCCCCTTGGCTAGGAATTAGGTATAACTGACAGTGGTTGGCATGATATTCATGGTGAGTTGTTATATTCGTCAATCTTTTTCAAGCTTTCTTTCCTTTAACTTGTTCTTGGATAGAGCTTTAAATGACTATGATAGTTCATTTTGTTAGTAAACTACTACATTTTGAAGTTTGATGTTTACACTAAGAGCTAAAAGGTTGTTAACTGTAACTTTCTTAAAACCATGTGCATGTGCTGTACCTTTGATGCATTTTGTTTTCTAAGGATTTTTTTCACTTTACTTCATTAGTAGAATTTCTATCTAGGTTCTGTGGCCTGATGGACTTTCTATGCATTTGAAAAACCTGCAGCACTGTCGAATATCGAGTTGGCTAGCTTCCTCCAGTGGTATGTAAGAGTCGAGTTTCATGATCCTGCCTGTGCAAAACGCTTTTGCTGTACTTATGACATGCTAGCAAGCATGATGAAGGTATAAGTAATTTGTTTCTGTGGCCAATTACTTAAATTACTCCAGTACGCTGCATGCTTCTCTTCCCATGTCTCCTAAAAGTTTATCAGAACACAATTTTCTATATTCAAGAAGTTGTGAGCTTTAAACTAGGTTGACTCTTTATTCATTTTACTTCTAGTGTGTTTATCTTTTCTTTTCAGGAAAATTGCCTGATTTTCAGCTCCTATGCCAAAGAAAGAGATGCATTTAAATTAATATTCCAAGTTTATTCTATATCTCTTGTCTCAGTATCGATATAACTTGGTTCTTTTAGTGTATATTACATTTTGTAATCTTAAGATATTACTTTGCTTTTGCTGTATGCTTCTATGGCTTTTTTATTGGTGAAGCTAACCAGATTATTTATTCATATGACAGATGTCACCAGGCTTAAATGGAGAGAAATTGTTGCAGAGTTTGGTCCGCCAAACAGAATTGACTGCTCAGTTGGGTTCTATTATGAGAGATGTAAGAAACGTACGAGGTGGAACACAAAAAAAGGTCGAGAAATTAAGACAGCTTCTTTCTGGACTTCTTAGTGAGCTTACTTTTTTTGACGAGGTATTTACTTAATTGCGCATCTATTTCTAATTGGCTTTGTCTATTAAAGCCATCCTTATCAAAATATTGAAGATTCCCCATTTTAATCTTTCTTATTTGGAGATGAGGATACCTATTTGTTGGGATTTGTTTTCTTTTTTCTTCCCTCTTCAGCCTATCCGGTATCCTCTAGTTCCAAACCTACTCATAACTGGGATCGTGCCATCAGAATCATCAATTTTCAAAAGTGCACTGCACCCTCTACGGTTGACCTTCCGGACAGCAAATGGGGGAACTTGCAAAGTAATCTTTAAGAAAGGAGACGACCTACGTCAGGATCAATTGGTAGGTGCTATTAAACCTATTCTTTCATGAAACCTCTTCTTTCCCTCAGAGGACAATAGAAAAATTTATGCCTCCTTAGCTGGAACTTCAGATGACCCTTGACTTGAGATACTCTTGTTGCAAGTTGCATTGGATACTGCTCATTTAAATATTTTGACTGATGCAGCATTATAATGAAATTATGTGAACATCATTGTTCATTATAGTGTTCTATAACGTTGATAGCTATTGGCATGTATGAAGAACAATTAAAGGACATTGTAATTGTGAATTTTAACCAGTGTATTATGTTGCTGGATCTTGCGTAAGAATTTACATATAGCAAACCCCTTTTTTTAACTGAATGTCAGTAGGTATGATGCTTTGGTTTTCCTTTTGTACTTGTTCCATCTGATTTTCTAGCTGACATTTCCTTGTTAGGACTTCGTTGGGAGAACCATTAAGTGATGCCATTGGTTTTATCCTTGTTTTGTAGGTTATTCAGATGGTTTCTCTTATGGACCGATTGCTTAAGTTGGAGAATCTTGACTTGCATTTAACTCCATATAGAGTGCTTGCTACCGGACAAGATGAAGGGATGATGGAGTTTATTCCATCCAGATCACTTGCACAGGTAAACACATAATTTAATAGATAACTAATTTCTGCTGATATGAAAAACTGTAAGAATTATATGGCCCTCATTTTTAATTTGATACTTGCTATCTTCTGTTCCATTTTCTTATGGGGAGGTTTTATCTTTGGTGAAAAGGAGGACATGCTTAAGATTTCGTTTCATTATAAAGTATGCTGATAAATTCTATAGCACCCCTTGCGCAATTGGAAATGAATAAAACCTTTAAAGCTCTAATGTGATGGTGAAGTAGAGGGTTGAAGACAATAATAACAAACAATGCAAGAGTCTGCATCCCGAATCTTTGGGAAAGGGCTACTTTATCCTTTTGGCGAAATTACCAAATTGGGATATTTAGTAACACCTCTATACCAATCAGACCTATTTAGTGGCACTGGTGACATTAAGGTATATTTTGTGAGCCTCATATTGCTATCAAGGCCTATCTGATCCCCGGAGGTGAAATTTGAGCCAAAAGTTACAAATTTTTTTTTTGCATATATACTCCTCAAATCTTCCATATTTACACATTTGCGCACAAATCTTGATTTTTGCAAAAATAAAACCCTTCTCTCTCCCCTTAACTCTTAACTAACAACAAGAGCAAATTAAATTCTGCTTCATTCACCGTATCGATGCTCAAATTTAACATGTCCCTGATTAGAATCATTATACTTGGTCGTTCGTTCATGAAAAATACTTGATGACAAATCCTTGCATCTGAGACGCTCCCTGAGCTTCTTTTGTTTGTGCTTGTTCATCTTTCTCTTCCTCTTCTTCTTCATGCTATCAGCCTACATCGCCGGCCCTTCACCATAATCACCAACATTGGAGCTCATCACTCCGTCAAACTGAATGAACCGATAAAAAGCAATTGGGTTCAGAGATAAACAATGGGGAAAGATGGGTAAAATGTAAGAAATGGGCTATGGTGAAGTAATGGAGAAAATAGGGGATTTGAGAAATGCGTTTTATTGAGAGATGTCACTAATCTTAGTGGTGGAGAGGGTAAGGATTTTTGGGGAAGTTTTTGGAGTAATTTGTATATATGAGAAATTTGAGGGATATGTGTGTGTGCGCGCGCGCACAAAAAATCCATAATTTTGCGTTCAAAGTTCATCACTATCGACCAGGTAGGCCTTAATGGCAATTTGGGGCTAACTACTAACTAAATATACTTTATGGTCGCTGGTGCCACTAAATAGGTCTTATTGGTATAAAGGTGCCACTAAATATACCAATCTGGTAATTTAGCCTCATCCTTTTCGCACGTTCACTTTATTAGTGGTCATTTCAGTTGTTTAGTTAATGTGTATAATAGCCTTTTAGGTGCCTAGATCCATGCCTGTAAAAATCATCTTTGTTCGTGTTGCTCTGTTAATTATAATTTTTCATGTGTACCAGACTACCAGTGCAGAAGACTTCGGCTATTGATTTCCATTGCGCTAGTTTTGTTAATGTATTGTTTAACTGTATAGGTGTGAGTAGAATGAATCATGAGTTTTTTTTTCTTTTGCTGTGATATAAAACAGAATTTGTCGTAGTGACATTACTACAGGTATTAGAGGGATGTATCCTTGTAATGCTTCTGTGACATCTTCTGTGTTATCTAACTGTATGCACACTATGTAGAATGAATAAAAGTCATGTTTCATAGATTGCTTATAGTTGTAGTTTTTTCTCCTTGACATTTATTACTAATCTGCATTTACTTGAAAATTGTTGTCAGATTTTGTCAGAGAACAGGAGTATCACAAACTATCTTCAAAAGTATCACCCTGATGAAAATGGACCATTTGGTATAACAGCCACTTGTCTTGAAACTTTTATTAAAAGCTGTGCTGGGTACTCTGTCATTACATACATCTTGGGGATAGGTGACAGGTAAGTCACTTTTTTTAGTTGATATCTATGTGCTCAGGTTAAATCTTTCTTGCCACTTATTAGTAGTTTCACACTTATTGTAATAATGATGAGGTCATCTTATTCTTTGTTATGAACGACTGATTAAGAGTGGAAAACAATTTACTTGGGTGACTTTAAACATCATACTAAAAGGGATTTTCTAATAGTTCTTGTTAAACTTTGGTTGCAAATTGATTTTTAGCTTAGTTTCATTTCTATGAATTGGGTATGCTGCTGACCTCTCTATCTTCATATTTTTTCTAGCCTCATGACGTCAACCCTAGTTCTGATGTCATAATTTGTACTGGTAGATTGAAGAAATTTATTTAAGATTATGGAATTCTGATTTCCATCTGGCTTCTTTGCCCACACACACACACACACACACAAACTCAAAAAAAAAACTTCAGAACTTGTTAAGACATGCATAGTTAACATGAATGTATAGCTGCATATTGAAATCTGGAGTTCTTTGTGTGTGTGTGTGTGTAATTTTAGTAAACTTCTCGCCTAAGTTGGTGTTAAGATTACTGGAGGTTGTCCTTATTACTATTTCGCTGGATTTAGGATTATACTTTTTGTATATTGATAACTCTCAATATTCAGCCTATTTATGCATAGAAATGTGAGAAGAAGCTCTAAGCTGATGCAATCAGTTAAATATTATAGCCTATCATTGCCTCTAAAAACACTGTAAGATGATAATTAGTCTTGCATGTCTTGAGTTTCTTGAAGTGAATAAGTTGAAGAATGACTTTATTTTGCATGTAGGCATTTGGATAACCTTCTCCTCACGGATGATGGGCGCCTGTTTCATGTTGATTTTGGTTTTATTTTGGGTCGAGATCCAAAGCCATTTCCACCGCCAATGAAACTTTGCAAGGAAATGGTTGAGGCCATGGGTGGAGCTGAAAGGTTTGTTTTTTTCCTCCTTTTACCAAATACCCCAGAAGCATATTGTAGAGTTTAAGAATAAACCGTGCTGTAACATAACTATAATATCAAAAGTTGTGTCGAAATTTGGCATGCTTCATTCTTAAACTCCCATAGTCTATAATTAATATGCTTCTCGGGTATGTTGGTAATACCCTATAATAGAGAAGAAAATTACTTTACCTACTACCTTTAAACTTCAACATACTTCCATATCTAGCACTTTCTCCGCGGCATCATTGATTTCTTTGTGAGTCCCATAGTTAATAATTTAATTCTCTTTTAAAATTATTTGGAATTAGCCCAATGGTTTTTTTTTTTAAACTAATTGACTCTTATCCTGACATAACCTTTTCTTGACTTACAGCCAATATTACACGCGGTTCAAGTCTTACTGTTGTGAGGCATATAACATTTTACGGAAGTCCAGTAACCTTATATTGAATCTGTTTCATCTAATGGCTGGTTCAAACATCCCTGATATAGCTTCTGACCCTGAAAAAGGCATTCTCAAGGTAATGTTTTCTACTTTGTGCTCAGATTGAAACTTATGTATGCCTATATGACCAAGAATATTTTTTATGAATAGCTTCAAGAGAAATTCCGTTTAGACTTGGATGATGAGGACTCCATACATTTCTTCCAAGATCTCATAAATGAAAGTGTTAGTGCATTGTTTCCTCAAATGGTGGAGACAATTCATCGATGGGCTCAGTATTGGCGCTAACTGTTTTGGTTTTTAATTGTTAAGGTCCAGCAGCAAAGTAAGTTACTCAACTTACTTCCATTACTTTTTCACGTGTTCTCGTCTTTGCGGGAGTCAAGAAATATTTATGGGTTATTTGCACTTCAATGCCTCTAACTTTCTCTCATTTTTTATGCTAATATTCTGAAGTTTAAGTCTGTCAGATAATCTCTAAGTTCACCTACTTTACATTTTAGTGTCTTTTATTTTATGTGACCATTAGAGTTTCTGTTAGAACTACATCATATGTTGTTTTTTGACATTATTGCCCCTGTTAAAAAAGAGTACTCTCAACTCCCAAGTCCCTTCTTCCTTTTATTTAAGGGAAAATATTATTCTTATCTTATCCATTTGATTTCTGCACATAAGCCGGACGGGAAGAAAATTAAAACGAAGAAAATATTTATAAATGGAGATGTGGAGAACTGAATATAATAGTATTAATTTTGTAGAAATATCATTGCACTTCTTCACTGTCAATTTAACGATGTTAATTCTCTTAAAAGGTCCTTCTGGAGAGATTATACTTCTGGGTGCCAAATTTAAAAAAAAAAGGATGATGAAACTCTGGAATATGAAAGAGAAAAATAACCCAGTATTTATGAATAAATTTGTAAGTGCTAGGCATACAGCTTGCTGCTGTTGAAGACCTACTTGAAGTGGATGTGCCTTTTCTTCGCCTCATAGTATGCTATAGGCTCAGACAATCATGCTTACATGTTCTTATACAATTCATATATAGTTCAGTTTAGACATTTAGCGCACTGATCCTGTTTTGTACTCAAAGAACCCTGCTAATTTTTGTTTTTCCGTTAATCTTGTTGACTTTGACTTACAGGGGGATTAAAACTGTCTGCCAAAGGCCCATATCACATCTGCTGCTCAAATCCGTGTACATCTATGATCTGTTTATTACCTATTTGCTTTGGGGCGGTTGCTTTTATTTTACTTTTTTGTATATAATTTCCACAATGCTGGTGAGTATTGTATTTATAGCACATGAAATGTATATATAAGAAAAATTATTGTATCTGAAAAGAAAACTTGTTATGGAATAAATTGATATTGCAAGTAGATATGTACGCACTGTTGAGACTCCATGTATCAGTTTGGCACAATGGCCCTGGGCTGCAAACGGTTTGGTTATGGCTCAAACATGGTACTTATCATATCCGTAATTGCTTATCAATTGCAGATACGGATATGTATGTGTATTGGTAAGGAAAATTTATATTCATATCCGTTAAAAGTTTCTATTGGTACATATGTACATGTAGAAGTAAAATGATATGAAAATATTAGATAATACTAGAAAAAATATAGCTTGTATGATATGAGAGAATTTATTAATATGTTGATTATATCTAGAAATCTAAGATCATATTTATTGATCATCAAACTAAACTCAAATGCACTAATATGAGGATTAAAGCTATTGCAATTGTATGATGAACATATATTCAGACGGTTAGGATATAGTTAGGATACATATATTTTACTATATATCTGTATTCATAATTGCATTCTATCCGATATAATTTTTAGTAACAATATATGTATTCTTGCATATACTGATATTTTTTGCATCCATCCCTAGTAACGGTGGTGCCTCTTTACTTTAACACTTCCACGAATATAGATTTTTTGCGCCCCTAGCAATGGGTAGTGCCTCTTTTATCTTTAAGGGGCTGTTTGGATGGGCCAAAATTTTAGGAAACTATCATTTTTGGAACAGAAATTAGGTTTTGGACTATTATAAGATTCTAAAAGTTGTGTTTGTTTCAAAAAATTTTAAGAAAATGTTTCTTAAAAAGAGAGAAAACAATATGTTTCTTTGGACAACCCAAATCCTTTATTTTAGCTTTGAAATGGGCTAAGAAAGCTAATAATTGTGTCCAGCTCAGCATTTCCTCTCTCTCTCCTTTTCTCTTCACGTGCCAACAGTCAGAACCCCACCCCCATTACACTCACTGCCTCATCTTCTCGTTCCCTCCTCTTCTACATTTCCCTCTTCCGTTTTGCGCCGCTTCATAAAAAAACACACGAGGCTATGGCTACTCAAATCGGCCACAAACAGATCTAATGTGGTCGATTAAAGCTTTGATTATCTCCTTGATGAACCCTAGCTATTGATTTCAAAATGAAATTTTTGATTTTTGGGGTTTACAAGAAGTGGATTTTCTGATGTTGGGAGTTTTCACGATGCATGTCGTCGTCGTGAATGAAGGCGATCTTCTCTAATTCCGGTGTAGTCGACACTTCCTCTTTGTTCTATTCTTCAGAGTTGACGGCTTGATTTCTGGGTGTAGGGTTCATACTACAAAATTTCACCTCTCATCCTCCGGATCTACTCTATAACGAAGTAAAGGTACAACGTTCCTCTAATTTGTAATTTTTTTATATGTAGGCAAATTAGAGTAAACTTGCTCTGGTCAATATTTGTTATGATTAACTAATAATATGATTGTACCTGATTTTATTCATGTTTTGAGCAAAATATACATATCAAGCAGTCATGTTAGCATTCCCCTGGTCTCTTTTTATTTGGAATAAAGTTCAGAGGATTATAATGAGATGATTGAGCATATGATTAAGAATTGACTTCGGAAAATTCAACTAAAAAAATTTATTAATTTTGGAAATTAATATATTCAACTCTACAGAAGAGTGTTATGGTTTGTGAATTGACTTCGGAAAATTAATTTTTATTTTTTTATTTACTTTTTTACATTTGTATATTTACTTGATGATGATGTTTGTAGATGTCGTACACAGCTAGCTCAAAGATATGTTAGTATGATTTTCTAATGAATTGGCAATATGATATCGTGGTTGATAATACCAAATATTGGTATACTTGTATAATTTGACTAAATTTTATATTAGCTAAGTTTTAGAAATTGTTCTTTCCTTCAAGTATTTGCATATGTTTAAGAATATATTTTTTGATCATTGTAGATGGATGATGTTTATGAGGAAATGTTAATGAGGATGTCAAGTACTGCTACTATTTTCGTCATCGTGACTATGTTGACATGTGTAATGAGAATGCATTGTAGTAAGAAATCTATCACTTATCACTATAGGGAGAGGAAAAAAGAAAAGATAGAGTCTAGAAATGCACACATATACCGTGTATTTTCTGATTATAGTCAAAACTGTAGAGATTATGTTAGTATGAGGCCGCAAGCATTTGAAAATCTTGTTAGAATAATGAGAGTTACAGGCCTACTTCAGGATTCACGTGATGTTAAAGTAGAAGAACAATTGATCATGTTTCTTAATATTTTAGGTCATAAAACAAAAAATAGAATACTAAGGTCACATTTCATAAGACCAGGAGAAATAAAATCTAGGTATTTTAATAAATGCTTAGAAGCAGTTGGTCGTATAAGGGGGCGATTCCTGAAGCAAGCACCAAATTAAGTGGTGCCAGAGATTGCAAACAATCCTTTGTACTATCCTTGTTTCAAGGTAATGAACTCATTTACATAACATGCATTGAATAAAAGATAAATTTTATTATATGAAATAATAGTAATTTAATACATGATTTAGGATTGCATTGGCATGATAGATGGAACCCACATCGACGCCATACTTCCTGCTAGACTTGTTGCCCGTTTCAGATGCCATAAAGGTGTAACTCAGAATGTTCTAGCCGCATGTCCTCCAAATAAGTTATTTTCAAACGTTCCGGCTGGATGGAAGGGGTCCGCAAATGATTATAAAATACTACAAGATGTACTTTCAAGGCCTCAACCACATGGACTGAGAGTCTATGATGGTAATTAATCACTAAAATGAATATTCAATTATAATTTATAAAAATATATTTATTTACTACATTGTATTGTTTATACTTGTAGGTAAATATTATTTGTGTGATGCAGGGTACACTACCATGTTTGGATTCATCTCCCCTTATCGTGGTGTATGTTATCATTTATGAGCACAGGGGTAGGCCAATAAATAATAAAATAGAGTTGTTCAATTTAAGACATTCATCGCTAAGGTCTAAAATTAAATCAACTTTTGGATTATTGAAGAATCGTTTCAAAATCCTCACCGCAAAGCTACATTATCCTTTTTCCAACCCAAGTTGACATAGTTTTGGCTTGTACTATACTTCATAACTATATTGCCATAGTGGATCCGGGCGATGACTTATTGAATGAGAACATTACTATTGAAGATGACGATGGAGAAATAGCTAATGAGGATAAAGATGACAATGTTGAGCTTTTTTCTTCTAAGTATGGCTGATTTTGATGATGTTGATAAAAGCAAGAAGTGTGAAGTTACTCCTTCCCCTAAAACCCCTAGAATTCCTACTTCAAACTTGAACATGAACTTCATGCCATTCCCCCAAGCCCACTACTCTGCTCCTCCACCTCCTTATCCATCTTACTCTCATTATGATAATAATTTCTCATTTATGACTCAACAACATATGTCATATACGAATATGCTTAGTAGCTACCTAATTATCCATGCTACCCCTAGCTCACATAACAATGGTACCCACTCTGGGGATAGTCTTTGATACGAGTCGTCGTGCGAGCACCCCTTTGGTCGCGGAATTACCAAAAGGTGGGTTGAGAAGAGGATGACCAAAACACAAGAACAATTCAGTATAAGGCGAAGGAAAATACCTTCTCTAGATTATGAGTATGAAAAGATTACAATCCCTCTCTCACAATCTCACTAGAATTGAGAACAACCTCCCAACTCTCCCTCTAAACCCTAATACAATTATTAGAATCTCCCTCTGATCTAAGATCTCATAGATCCTCACAATCTATTTAGGACTACATCTTGGCCTCTAACCTCCTTGTTTAGAACCCTAAACAATCCCTATTTATAGGGTTTACAACGTGGTGGTAATCTTGTAAATAAACGATCCGGTCGACCGCCAGGCTTGGTCCGGTCGACCGGCCAGAGAGTTTTCTCAAACCCTGCACCGTGCAGGTTTTCCGGTCGACCAGCATGTGTGCTGCGGTCGACCGGCCAGAGATCTGCCAGTCTACCCTGTTCTTTTGCGTTTCGTTCTTATTGACTTCTTTCACCGTCTTCTTTGGCTCCATCCATGCTCCTATTCCCAAGATATGAGAATCTTCTATCCTCAAGCTCCCATGAGGATCGCTAAGCTCCTGAAGAGAAGATACACCCGTATCATGGGTCCCCCCTTTAGGAACTTGAAGTCCCGTTCAAGTTAGAACTGAAACTGAGGGAACTCGTGAGCCCCTCCTCCTTTTCTGAACCACCTGGCCTTGCTAGGAATCTGATCTCGACGTCCGATCGGAAATAACTCATTCATCCCGCGTCTCGTCGTAGTCACTTCTCGCTCCAAGTTGCAATCCTTAATCGATGGCTTTTCTGAAAGTCTAATGCACAGCGAGACAAACTTCTTGCTTGCATTCACTAACCTCTTCGCTCGCGTCACCGTTCCCAAGCTTGTCTCCCTCGGAAGAGATGCCGAACGAAATATGAACTTTTCACCACCCTTGGTGAATGTATACTTCTGAGCCCGCCTCTCGTAGATCGCATATCTATCCCATAAGTACGGATTGCCCAGTATAATCTGACAAACATCCAATGGAACTACGTCGCATGTGACCTCGTCAATATACGACTCATGGAGCGCAAATCTTACAGTGCATTGATCAACTACACATAGCTTCTCCTCCTTCTGAATCCACCCCAATGGATAAGGCTTCGGATGCTTGACCGTCTTCAGACCCAGCTTCTGCACCAATGCCTCGGATATCAAATTCTTCTCGCTGTCCGAATCAACAATGGCATCAACTAAACTGGTCTTCGCTTGCAACTTAAGAACAAAGAGTTGCTCTCTCGGGTCGTCGTCCTCTTTCGTGGCCTGCTTTCCCGTCATAAGATTGAGACTGATATTAGGCTCTGTCATCCCCGGGACTTCTTTCGGACCTTGAGCTATCATGTATGCCTTTTTCTCCTCCTTCTTCTTCAACCCTCTTGGCTTTAGATAAGGATACTTCTCCCAGCACCGATCAGCTTCGCGACATGTCTTCTCGCAGTGACTACAAATCAGCCCTGCTTTCCCTGGATCACCCTTCTTCTTCTCCTCCTTAAACTGAGAACCACTAGACTCGCCTCCAACTTGCTTTGCATCCCCCTTTGCTTCGTTGCTCTTCTTTTGCTTGCCCTCAATGGCAATGGCCTTCACGCTCGCATCTGCAATAGTCTCGACCGTGAATAACCTCATCTCCTTCCGGATGTAATCGCTCAATCCCGCCATATACTTCATGAACACGGAATATTCCTCTGTCGCAACGTTAAGAACCATTGCCTGCTGCTGGAACTCCGTAGTGTATTCTTGAACGGTTTGATTGAACCCTTTGGCCGCAAGCCGTACGGACTTGCCTACCAACGTTTCTTCAAGGAATCGCCACCGGATAGAACTGTTTCCTAAGTAGCTCCTTTGAACTTGTTTTCCGCACGGAGCACCGCCTTTCTTCTTCCTGCTTTGCAATAGGATTTCCACACGTCCAACGGCATGTCCTGAAAGCTTCAAATGTCATGGGCGAACAGCAATCTTCTCTTTGACGAATAGCCATTAAAGAGTAAAAATACGTCTCATCGCTCAATTCCAGTCATCAAGCTCTCGACGTTAACACTCGACCATCATAGAATAGGAAATCTCCACTCTGAAATCAATCTTGCAGATTCTGGTAAGAATTCTTACCCCCTTGATGGCGGTGGCATGCTTGAACGGTGCTCGCGTCCTCCTCGTCCGAGCCTGAAAGCTCGGCCTCTCTGCCAACCGACTGCTATAGGTTTTTCTTAGACCTAGAAGAAGATTCCGCCCTTTTCGGTTCCCTCCCTTGGATGAGAACCGACGAGTTTGTTGAGCGTCGACCCTATCGGTCCTCGATCTGCGCTTTCTCTAATGGCAATCAATCCTCGGCCAGAATTATTCTCCTTCAGGCCATCTTCTCCTCCCTTAAATCGCTGCGACTCCTTCCAATGAAATAAGGCACCGGCCAAGCTTCTTGTATGTTCAGGAACGAGTAAGCACCATACACAGGATGCAGCGCCTTCTACGATCTAAGTGGGCTGCCTGATACCGAACTTGATACGAGTTGCCGTGCGAGCACCCTTTGGTCGCGGAATTACCAAAAGGTGGGTTGAGAAGAGGATGACCAAAACACAAGAATAATTCAGTATAAGGCGAAGGAAAATACCTTCTCTAGATTATGAAGAACAAAAGATTACAATCTCTCCCTCACAATCTCACTAGAATCGAGAACAACCTCTCAACTCTCTCTCTAAACCCTAATACAATTATTAGAATTTCTCTTCCCTTAGGTCTGATTGTTTAGAACCCTAAAACAATCCTATTTATAGATGTGCTAACGTGGATGGCAATCTTGTAAATAAACAAGCCCAAAAGAATCAGGAATCCCTGTCAAAACAGAATCCAAAACGAAACAGGAAACCCAGAAATCGCGATCCGGTCGACCGCCAGGCTTGGTCCGGTCGACTGGCCAGAGAGTTTTCTCAAACCCTGCACCGTGCAGGTTTTCCGGTCGACCGGTATGTGTGCTGCGGTCGACCGGCCATAGATCTGCCAGTCTGCCCTGTTCTTTTGTGTTTCGTTCTTATTGACTTCTTTCACCATCTTCTTTGGCTTCATCCATGCTCCTATTCCCAAGATATGAGAATCTTCTATCCTCAAGCTCCCATGAGGATCGCTAAGCTCCTGAAGAGAAGATACACCCGTATCAGTCTTTCATTGAAGAGGGCTATTGAAGTTGATGCTGAGACAATTTCACCAAGCAAAAGAAAGAAGAAAGTAATTGCTAAAAGAAAAATGCCATCAACAATTATAGATAAAGCTCCAAACATCAGGGGTGTACCTAACATGTATTGGAATGTAATGCATGATGATGTTTTAATCCCTGTTCTTGCTCAGTTGGCGAGGGATGGTCTCAAGGTTGATAAGAATTTTAAAATACATGCATACAAGGTGGCTGTTGAAGAGGTAAACAAGCACTGTGGAGCTGAATTCACTAAGAAAAATATGATGAACCATATGAAGAGCTTGAAGGCTAAGTTTTATGATATGCGAACTGTCATGAACATGAGTGGTGCCAGATATGATCCAAAGAAAAAAATTGTGACCATGGACCGAGATTCTTTTGATATGTGGGCGGTATTGATTGATATTTTATATATTTATCCGCATTATTTCTATACAACAATATTTATCTTGCATTTTTCCTTACATTAGTTTACTATACAGGACAAGTAGTGTAATAGCTCTAAGTTGAAGGAGTATTTGAACACGCCTCTCACTCACTATGATGATTTATGTGTCATTGTTGGTGATGACCAAGCAAGGGGAAACTTGGCAAAAGATATGTGTAAGAAACTTGGTTCTAGTCGGCCTCTTGAATTTTTAGAGGAACTAATAAATCTTTCTGAAAATGATAATGATGAGGCCCCAAACACACATTTTGAGACTGAGATACGAAGTGTAGAAAAGATCAACACTCAGTCTCAAAATGTGAGTCATCTAGTGGTGTAACTTCTACATCCAATGTCAAATCTCAATCAAAAAAGAAGAGTGGTAAGGGTAAAGATGATGATTCACTAATGCGTGATCTCATCGAGTCCATGTCCTACTCAATTCGAAATCAACATATTTTACATTGGAGCGAGAGCATGACCAAGGCTTTATTAGCACATGAGACTAATTTCTCTGAGACGATACTAGATAAAGTTCTTGATTATTTGTATGACAACGAATCAGAACCTAGGACGTTCATTATCAAAAAAAATACGAAGAAACTTTTTATAGAGAAGATTATCTCTGAAATGGATTTGACAAAGAGGATTGACGGATGTGTGAAGTTGTTTCCTTCCACCTTTTGTCATGTTGTTGTTTTCATGGGCCTCATTGTAACAATAACTAATTGATCCCCATACTTTTGATGTTTATGTAAAGCTGCAATAATGCAGCCTATGATACTCGGGTTATGATTTTGCTTTTATTTTGTTGACAAAACTGTTGTTTAATTTTATAAAACTGTTTATGATTAGGTTATGATCAGGTTATGATCTTGTGAGTGGTTTGTATGATTTTGTATGCTCTGTGGTTATTACAAGAGTGGTGTTGGCTTATTTATGAGCAGTTTCAGCTTAATGTTTGCTTCAATTAAATACATTAGTGGTTATGACCAGGTTGTGCCCAGATTATGAGCACTTTCAGGTTAATGTTTGCTTCAGTTTCAGCTCTATGGTTATGACTAGGTTAGGCAAAAGATTATGAGCAGTTTCAGCTCAATGTTTGCTTCACTTTTAGCTCTATGGTTATGATTAGGTTGTGCTCAGATTGTGTAGTTACAGCTCTATATGAACTTTAGTTTTTCTTCAGCTAAGGGGCTATTTTCATCTCTTGTTTGCTTGAGATTCAGATAAGTTGAGTTGTATAATTTGAGTTATTTTTAGCAGATTATGATCAATTTTCCTATTTGCTAAGGGGATGCTTTCATTGCATTATTGTGTGCAGGTTATTAGCTTGGAAATACATGTTGTTTTTTCACATCTATTCTCATAAGACACGATGCTATGATCTGTGGACAAGTTATAAAGATAGCAATCTACAGACTTTGGTGTATTGGTAAGGCTATCTTTCAAACTTTGGCTCCTCATCTGAGCAGAAAATTGGTTTGTGTCATGATGCAACAATATTCATGAGTTATTTGGGTTTTTTTTTTGCATTAGGCAATGATGATGGGTCATTTTTGTTAATGCAGACTATATTATGATTTCATTATTTAGATGATGCAAACCATGATGAGAATGCAATCTAAATTGCTCATGCAATTTTTAGATGAGACAACCATTATGTGTAGGAAATCTATAATGCAATTACAATATTTAGGTGAGGCATTGTATACAGATAATATGACTTTAATCTGAGCCTCATACTTTGTTATTTAACAATCATGAAAATTTCCTTTCATATCTCAATACATTTTTCCACTACATGACATATTTTTAAAGATAAAGATGAGTACACAAATTATAACTAAAAATAATACACTCATTTTCTAAATGATTAGTTGATGCTCTGCTGATTTCAATTCTCTCTTCAATTTCTTGATTTTCATTGACTTTTGTTTTCAAGAATGTCTTCACTTTGTGATAGTTAATTTCTATTTCTGCAATCAACCTCTTTATGAACCCATTGAAAGAAGTTACATTCTTTATTTGAGAACTTAGCACAACCCCAGTAATATCTCCATTTATTTTTTCCATTTGCACATAATTTCAAAGGAGTTCAAAGCTTGCATTTACACTTCACTTCATAAGGGTCAATTGCTTGTTTGCTATCACATTTCAGCTTCATCTTCATTACAGTAGCAATGTTGCTTTGTTTCCTGGAACAAAAAAAAAAGGCTAAAATGAAGTGCATTGTATTGGGCTAATGCTGATACATTTATATAGGATTGAAACTCCTATATACTAGTCGTTGCAACCCCTAGCCATTTATACATGTTGCCAACTTTGTACAGCCTATATTATCTTCTCGACAACTATGTTTATTCACATTTTTTGGTTTTTTCCTATTCTATGGTTTTGAATCACACACAAAAAAGCTCCAGAAACGCTTTCTATGATGGTATTTTTCTTATTCTTTAGAATTGAAACAAACATGAGTTTTGGATATGCTTTCCTATTCTTTACTTTATCATTCCATATCAAACACAAGTTTTGGATTTCTTAGATATCCCAAAAAAAATTGGATTTGGTTTTTTGTGAGGGAATTTATTTCCATAATTGTATGGAAATGAACCAAACAGCCCCTAATAATTAAAGCTTCTTGCCACTTTATGACAAAATTCATGTTTTCTAAAATAATAAAAAATAAAAAAAGGAAAATGCGTGATAATTTGACGGACTTTTGAATGAATACCATCTTCAAACTTTTTTCTTACATTCATTGAGGTATTCAAATTTGGAATATAATGAATCCAATAGATAATTTCTCATGAATCGTGATCTTGGTTCGATTGTTACCCTATTTCCTATTAAAAAACTAAAATTACTCCTATAACAATAATAATTGCATATATACCCTCCAATTCTATTCTGTTTGCAGTTTTAATCAACAAATATTCCGATTTGCAAATTTATTTCTACATTCTCTTGTATTGAAATTTTGAACCCTTCTCATTTAATAACATTAAAATTATAATTTATAGGAGTAAATTTAAAGATACAGAATAGGGGGTAATCTACAATGCAGGCGAAATGTTCTCTTTGCACGGCGAAAGGAAGAATTTTTGTCATTTACTACTTCTTAGCTTGAAATTCAATTAATGTCAAATAAGTAGTGTAATTTTTTTAGGGAAAATTGCTTCTAGGCCCCAAATTTGAACTTTCAATGTGCCTCAACCCATCCTATTTTTTTAATGTGCTTTAGCCCCTTTTTTTGAAAAAAATATGCACAATGCCCCTCCATCATGATTCCAGCTCATGTCAGTAGTTGATTAGACATGCCAGCTCATGATTAGACATGTCAGCTGGCTTAAATCCCAAATTTACCCTCCTCTTTCTCATGCCAGTGGATGTTAACTCTTGCAGGTAACATGTTAACTCTTGCAGCTAACATGTTAACTCTTACTAATATGCCCACTTGAAGTTCCTCGTGACGGCGCCGACGGCGGAGCGGGGGAGGGGGCAGAGGGGGACCGGAGGAGGAGGAGAGAGGTGTAGGAGGAGGTGCAGCGGGGGAGGGAGGCGGGGGAGGGGGTGAAGGGAGGGCAAAATCGGGTTTTTGGACATGGAGGGGCCTGGACGTAATTTTTTTAAAAAGGAGGGGCTGCAGCACATTAGGGAAAGTAAGGGGGGCTGGGGCACAATAGAAGTTGGGTTTTGGGGCATTGAAGCAATTTTCCCTAATATATGGGCCCAGCTTATTTTAACTCAATATGAATACATGGAAAATTAATTAATATTTAAACTTTAAGGATATATTTGCAAATAAGATAGATTGAAGGATACATAATTAAGGAAAACCCCACGTTTGACAAAGGGTTAAGGAAGATGGATTAAGAAGAAGGATTAACATAGTTAGCCAATTCAATAATCCAAAGGAGTTTTATTTTAGCCATTTGATCATTTTTAGTGTTTATGAATAACAAGAATTTTGACTATTTTCTTTATAATTAGAGGGCTTAATTCTTAATCATTCTAAATAGGAGTATTAGTAAACCTCTTACTTTAGGGGTTAACTCATTTTAATCCCTCTATAAGGGTTAGCTTAATCATTTTGTATTTTTTGCGTTTGGCAAATTATTGAGAGTTAACTCACTTTAACTCTTGTATAAATTTTTTATGTTTGGCAAGTTAAGAAGGAGTTAAGTCTCCTTAACCCCTCACTTAACTCTTTGCCAAACGCCACCTTACGTACCATTTAGCAAATGTTTAAATGAAGGGTTAAGGAGAGCTAACTCCTCCTTAGCCTACCAAATACAAAAGTTTACACAGCATGTAAACTAAGTTAACCCCTTATAATCTGCCAAACACAAAAAGTAATAGAAGGATTTTCAAATCCCTCCAGAGGAGCTAAAAGGTGTCAACCCTTGAAAACGAAGGGTTCACGAAACCACATATGTAGAAGGATTAAGAAGTAATCCCTTATTTTATAATTAAAAATAATAATCGTGAGCATTTTTATTTCCAAACTCAAAAATGACCACAAAGATTAAAATAAACTAACCTTAAAAATTAAAAAAAAAAATAATCCTTCAAATTAACAAGTAGATTAATTATATTGATCCTTACCGGGTTGAAAAGTAACCTACGACTCCAATTTCACGGGAATATAAAAGCGAGACACGTGTCACCGATATAACCCCTCTCCTCCTCGAAACCGCCTCAACTCTGAAGTCCAAACACAAAACGCCCACGTGTCACTCTCTTATTCCCCCACCTCTCCACTCCCTCTCCTATAAATTAGCCCCACGGATCAAACCCCAGCTCAACGAATAAAAAAAATGCTGCGTCTCGGAGCTCTGCGTCTCTTGGGATACGGTCACCGCCCGGCGGTGACCCCACCGCCCGCGGTGGTCCGGGCGTACCACGAGCGTGTCGTGGACCACTACGAAAACCCTAGGAACGTGGGGTCGTACGACAAGCGCGATCCGGCGGTGGGGACTGGGCTCGTCGGAGCTCCGGCGTGCGGTGACGTCATGAAGCTCCAGATTAGGGTTGATGACGACAGCGGGAGGATCGTCGATGCCTGCTTCAAGACCTTCGGGTGCGGGTCGGCGATCGCGTCCTCGTCTGTTGGTGAGACTCGATCTTGTTTTCTTGGAGAATTTTTTTTTAAAAAAGTAAAGTTGGCGATCTCGAGTTAGGTTGGTTGTCTTTCTTTGTTTTTCTGGGTTAGGGAGGTTGCTATTGATTTGTTGATTTCTGGGGTTCTTTTACTATTAGATTTCTATTTTCGGATAGTTTGATATGATTCATGTTGATGTCAAGCATCTCAAATTCCATGCTTTTCAATAATTGACGCCAGTTGACTTAGAATTGTAGCAAAGTCTATTGAGATTTGATAATCGTTTGGTGATATTTGTTTGAAAGATTGAGAGTTAACTAGTTGTATTTGTTTTTTAATAAAAAAAGTTGTTGTTTTTAGGTGTAAGTTGAATTAATTGTTTCAGGGTCGCGCAACAATTTCTTGTTTCTCAAGTTCCTTTGTTAGTTTATGCCCCATATGTACTCGAATCAATCGCTAAAACTTTGTCTTGTTAGACCTGGTAGCATATGTTGATGCCGTCTTGCTTCGATATATTTTCTGGGCAATTTTTAGGATTATCGAAATGCTCATTTCGTGCTGCATTATCCTCAGCAAATTTCCTCTTACAATTGAAGTCTAGTTAGGTACACTTCCGCGCATGCTATTTAAAGTTTGGTATTCAAGGGACATTGCGCGCGTAGGTAGTAATACTTTAGGTACCCAGTTTTCGTATAGCGTTTTTCGCACAATTTTTTGTGTCATGAAGTATGATATTATCTTATCTACGGCTACGACCATCCTCCTGATTTTGGTTTTATGACTGTATTAATTGCAGCTACTGAATGGGTCAAGGGGAAACAGATGGAGGAAGTCTTAGCCATCAAGAACACGTGAGCTACCCTCTACTTCTCACCGTTTATAATTCTACTCTTTTTAAGTTATTGTAGATTTTGGGCTTCTGATGCTTTCTCCATATCTGTAGTCATGTGTACTTTCTTCTGCTTTTTATGTGAACGTAACGAACATGAACTGCAACCACTCTGTTTTCCATTATTGATGTCGAACAAATTCAGGGAACTTTGACTCGGGTTAACTTATGCAATTGTCTCGGACTTTGAAAGGTATATCTAAGTTAAAATTCTTATGGTTCTAGGTCGGACTCAGAAAGCACCTGTAAATATAAAATTAAACGGCCTCGGGGCGTGCTTGTGTAGAACAGGGGACTTACTTAAGGATTGTGTTAAGTAGAAGGTTGTAGAGATCAATTTTTGTAGATTTCGCTGAGTGTTAGTTCTGGTTGGCAGCAGCTATGAGAGGGAATTGCTAGCTTGTATCACTTCGTTGTGGGTATAGGTCTTTAATCTAATCAACATCCGCGCTGAGTTCTCCTCCTCTGCTTTACAGGGAATTTAACTTATGCTATTTAAGTTCATTGCTCAATGTAATAGTAGTGATCAAATTATGAGAAACATATTTTGATTTAAACCCATTTGCTTACTCCCCCAACTTTCGCAGTGAAATTGCAAAGCATCTTTCGCTTCCTCCGGTGAAGCTCCATTGCAGTATGCTTGCAGAGGATGCTATAAAGGCTGCCGTGAAGGATTATGAAGCCAAAAAAGCAAAGAAATCTGGAAACGGTGAAGAAGCTGCAAATGCTTGAAATGTGAGGTCCTTCATAGCTTGGTTTAAGAATCACGTATCTATTATTTCCAATAACCCCCTCAGTGGTTATGCTCAATAACATGTATACAATATGATGCTCGAGGAAAAGCTGGTGTATATATTGATAGTTTGTGGTTTGTGATGCAAATTTTGTGTGTATAAATTTAGTGATTGTGGTTAGCTTTTTTCTGAAGCCACTGCCAAAACCTGATTGTTTCACACGTCGTGTATGTGTGTATGTGTGAGTGTCGCGTAATACTGATGTGCTGTGGATGGTTCTCTTAATGTTTCACTGCGTTGTGGAGAGACCCTCTTCTCTTTAGTATGGGCAACAATAATTGCGAGATTATCCACTTGGGCGTTAGGATTACAATTGTCCCTTTATGATTTAAGTTTTTTCTCCGACTATTGAAGCTAATTTTATATATTCTACAGTAACGCGGGGGATACAAATCATATCGGAACATCCCCTGGATGTGAGGATACAAATCATATCAAAACATTCAGTAATGATTTGAACCATACAATGAACCATTGAAATTCTCAAATTGCCACCGTGATATACCAACTTTTGAGTCCAATATCTTTTTCCATTAGGTTTTTTAGGTATTGGTTGTTAGATCTAATAAAAAACTTGAGATCTAACCCATAAAGCCATGATTGAATTCAAAGAGATTAACAAGAATCAAAAGGTGCGGAAGCATATATCTGAATCCATTAAAGAAAACTTGATTAGGGTTTTGATGATCTTCTAACCTTAGGGTTTCTCTCTTATGGATCTCTTTAGATGGGGATAAGAGAATGAGAGTGGTTAACCCTAGATTAGGGACCATAACCCCTTATATATAGGTGTTGTACATTTGTAATTTGGCCCCTCATCAAATTACAATTACAACCTGGTATCTGCACATATAACCCCCATGATTTATTTAAATACCTATTAACCCAAATTGATTGATCACTTTAAGTGGGTTATCCTTAAAGATAGTAATACACATTGATTAATCATATGTGCCCACAAATAGATTTAATTAGATTTAAATCCAACAATCTCCCACTTGGGCACCATATGATTCCTTAAATTGTGTATAACCTTATGAGCTCAAAATTGCTATCATTAAAAAGATATTTCCAAACAATCTCGTCCATTGACTATATCAATATAGGATCAAAGCGGCCTTCGTCACATTTATCGTGACTCGACCCATCAATGGTCACATATACCAATACAATCAAACGACATAGATCAATCATGGATGTGCAGCATGAAAATTACATGCAATGTGATCAGTACATGTCTATTTTCAACTGGTCCTCCTTAGTGAGGTCAAAACCAAACATAATGTAACAGAGTGTCTTAACTGAATACTTTATTCTGATCAGACAATACAACCAAACACAAAGCACCAGAAAATTATAAACTCCCACTAAATCAGGATATCCTTGAATAACACCACACCCATATGAGTAGTATGCTCATGAAAGACCTTGGATGGCAATCCTTTAGTAAGAGGATCTGCTATCATGAAGTTTGTCCCAATGTGCTCTATGGATATCTGTCCACTCTGTACCCTTTCTTTCACAACCAGGAACTTAATGTCAATATGTTTTGACTTAGTTGAGCTCCTGTTGTTATTGGAATACATAACTGCAGATTTATTGTCACAAAATAACCTCAGTGGTCTTTCAATATTATCCAAAATGCGCAGTCCAGTGACAAAATTTCGCAACCATATTCCATGATTTGATGCCTCATAGCAAGCTACAAACTCTGCTGCCATAGTGGAGGAAGCTACGAGTGTCTGTTTTACACTTTTCCATGATATAGCTCCTCCTGCTAACATATAAATGTAGCCTGATGTAGACTTTCTGCTATCTTGGCATCCAGCAAAATCAGAGTCCGAATACCCAATGACCTCTAATTTCTCTGATTTTCTGTATGTGAGCATGTAATCTTTTGTTTTCTGAAGATACCTCATAACCCTTTTGACTGCTATCCAATGATCCATACCAGGGTTGCTTAAGTATCTGCCTAACATCCCAACAATGTACGCAATATCCGGACGCGTACATACCTGAGCATACATTAGACTTCCTACAGCCGAAGCATAAGGAATCTTCTGCATTTCCTGAATTTCAAGGTTACCTTTAGGGCACTGATTGAGACTAAACTTGTCTCCTTTAGCAACAGGGGTGTCACCTGGTCTGCAATCTTGCATGCCAAACCTTTTAAGTACCTTATCGATATAGCTCTTCTGTGATAATCCAAGAATACCCCGAGAGCGATCTCGATGTATCTGGATTCCTAATATAAAAGAGGCGTCCCCAAGATCTTTTATCTCAAAATTCTTTGATAAAAATCTCTTGGTTTCGTGTAACATGCCTATATCATTAGTGGCAAGCAATATGTCATCGACATACAGAACCAGAAAAATATACTTACTCCCACTGAACTTGTGATATACACAGTCATCAACAATGTTCATCTCAAAACCGAACGAGATAATTATTTGTTGAAACTTATGATACCATTGACGAGGAGCTTGCTTGAGTCCATAGATGGATTTCCTTAATTTGCAAACCATATTCTTTGGGTCTCCTGACACAAAGTTTTCTGGTTGCACCATATAAATCATCTCATCTGGTTGCACCATATAGATCATCTCATCAATGTCGCCATTGAGAAATGCAGTCTTAACATCCATCTGATGTAACTCAAGATCATAATGAGCAACAAGTGCCATGATTGTTCTGAAAGAGTCTTTCGATGAAACCGGAGAGAAAGTCTCTGTATAATCAACGCCTTCCTTTTGAGTATAGCCTTTAGCTACAAGACGTGCCTTATACCTCTCCACATTACCATTTGCATCCCGCTTGGTTTTAAAAATCCATTTACAACCAATTGGTTTTGCACCTTCTGGCAATGGGACATATTGTCTTGCATAGACTTGTACTCTTCATTCATGGCATCAATCCACTGTTGAGAGTTAGAACTTTTCATGGCCTGAGAGAAGTTGATTGGATCATCTTCTAACATTCCACTACTTTCCTCATGTTCTTGGAGAAATACAATATAATCATCCGGAATAGCATTTCTCCTTTCTCTCGTGGATCTCCTTAATGGCACTGGTTCTTGAGGTTGTTGAGTTTGTTCTTCTGGAACAGGGAGTTGTTCAACATTATCATCTTGAGGTTCCGGATTTACTTCTTGAGCAACAACAGGTATAGGAACCTGAATATTGTCAAAAGTAACTGTATGGATTGGATCTGAAGCCAATTCCTCCTCAAAACTAATGTCTCTAACCTTATTTCTCCCCCCAAACTCAACATCCTCAAAGAATGTTGCTGTTCCCGTCTCAAAAATATTCCTTATAGTGGGATCATAAAACTTATAGCCCCTAGAGCGATCAGGGTACCCAATAAAGTAGCTGCTAACTGTTTTGGAGTCCAATTTCTTTTCATTTGGCCTATAAGGCCTTGCCTCAGCTGGACATCCCCAAATATGTAAATGCTTTAAACTGGGCTTTCGACCAGTCCAAAGCTCATAAGGTGTTTTAGCAACTGCTTTACTTGGTACTCTATTCAGAATGTAAGCTGCTGTCTTAAGTGCTTCTCCCCAGAGTGACTCTGGTAAAGAAGAATGAGCAATCATACTTCTTACCATATCCTTAAGAGTCCTGTTTCGTCTTTCAGCTACACCATTCATGCTAGGTGAACCCGGCATAGTGTACTGTGGGACGATACCGCATTCCTCTAGGTATCTAGCAAATGGTCCTGGACGTTGTTCACCTGAACCATCATATCTACCGTAGTACTCACCACCACGATCAGATCTGACGGTTTTAATTCTTCTGTTGAGTTGATTCTCAACTTCAGCTTTATAGGCTTTGAACATGTCCAGAGACTCAGATTTTTCATGAATAAGATATAGGTGCCCATAACGTGAGTAATCGTCTATTCCTCCTCAAAAGCAATGTTTCTAACCTTATTTCTCCCCCCAAACTCAACATCCTCAAAGAATGTTGTTGTTCCCGTCTCAAAAATATTCCTTAGTGTGGGATTATAAAACTTATAGCCCCTAGAGCATTCAGAATACCCAATAAAGTAGCTGCTAACTGTTTTGGAGTCCAATTTCTTTTCATTTGGCCTATAAGGCCTTGCCTCAGCTGGACATCCCCAAATATGTAAATGCTTTAAACTGGGCTTTCGACCAGTCCAAAGCTCATAAGGTGTTTTAGCAACTGCTTTACTTGGTACTCTATTCAGAATGTAAGCTGCTGTCTTTAGTGCTTCTCCCCAGAGAGACTCTGGTAAAGAAGAATGAGCAATCATACTTCTTACCATATCCTTAAGAGTCCTGTTTCGTCTTTCAGCTACACCATTCATGCTAGGTGAACCCGGCATAGTGTACTGTGGGACGATACCGCATTCCTCTAGGTATCTAGCAAATGGTCCTGGACGTTGTTCACCTGAACCATCATATCTACCGTAGTACTCACCACCACGATCAGATCTGACTGTTTTAATTCTTTTGTTGAGTTGATTCTCAACTTCAGCTTTAAAAACTTTGAACATGTCCAGAGACTCAGATTTCTCATGAATGAGATATATGTACCCATAACGTGAGTAATCGTCTATGAATGATATAAAATATTGTTGACCATTCCAAGATGCCGTAGGGAATGGCCTACAAATATCAGTATGTATCAATTCTAAGACATCTGAAGATCTATTGGCATTTAATCTCTTTACTTTGGTCTGTTTTCCCTTAATGCATTCAATACATACGTTAAAATCTGAAAAATCAAGGGAATCCAAAATACCATCAGACACAAGACGCTCAACTCTACCTTTTGAGATATGACCCAAGCGCTTATGCCATAATGTCGCTGAATTTTCCTTATTTAATTTACGCTTAGTACCACGTGATTCCACATGCAAGGATTCATTATAAGAAGCAATTGTATCGAGCAAATATAGGTTGTCATAAGTACTTAAGTAACCAGTTCCCACAACATTTGAATTAAAAGATAAACTGAATTGACTGTTTCCAAATGAACAAGAATAACCTGATTTGTCCAATACAGAAACAGAAACCAAATTCCGTCTAAAAGACGGTACTACAAAAGTATCTTTTAAATCCAAATAATAACCAGTTCCTAACAACAACCTAAAGTGCCCAATTGCTTCCACATCTACCGATTGTCCGTCGCCCACAAAGATGTGTCTTTCAACATCACTTGGCTTTCGGTAGCTCATGCAACCCTGC